AATTTATGTGTCCACTTGACTGGGCCACGGGGTGCCCAGATATTTGGCCAAAATTATTCTGGGTGTTTTTTGTATGAGATTAACATTTAAATTAGTCGACTGAGTGAACCGAATTGCCCTCCCTAATGTGGGTGGGCCTTGTCCAATCAGCTGAAGACTTGGATAGAGCAAAGGGGCTGTGACCCCCCCCCTCCCCCGAATAAGAGAGCATCCCTCCTGCCAGGCCGCCTTCAAACTGGGACATCGGCTTCTGCCTGGGTCTCAAGCCTGCCGGCCTTCAGACCAGAATTATCCCATCAGCTCACCCGGTTCTCAGGCCTTCAGACTCAGACTGGAACTAAACCGTTGGCTTTCCTGGGTCTGCAGGCTGCCAGCTCCCTCGGCAGAACTCGGGACTAGCTGTCGTAACTGCCTGAGCCAGCTCCTTACAATAAGTCAGTAAACGAATGAATGAATATCCCATTAGTTCTGTTTCTCTGCAGAACCTTGACGGATGCAACAGGTATGTTTGCTATATTGTTTTCCATACCTTCGGCATGTCTACAATAGTTAACAATAAATTTTTAAATTGATAAACGATGAACGACTGTTAAGATGTCAGATGCTATAGAGATCAAGTAAAATGAGAGATGGAAAACGCTCTTGAGAGTTAGCTTTCAAGAGGCCAACGACTGCCTTTGCTGGAGTGGCTCAGCGCCGTGTCCAGAGCGGAGGCCTGACGGTGACGGGCGGTTGGTGGTAGGGAGCGCACGCACCCTCGAAGGAGGTTAGCCACGAAGCGAAGGAGAGCTCTGGTGTGCTGCTAGGATGGGGGGCAGAGGAGAAGGAGGGGGTTAAAAAGGAGTGGCTTCCCTTCTCCCGGGGGCCTCCACACTAATTCTGTCGGAATTGTTGGCGTCTGGTGTTCCTTTGGTCCCGGGGACGATTCCAGTAAAGATTCTGGAAGACTTAAATTACACCCCTGGGCTGTACAAATGATCTTTAAAATATCTAGCCACAGAGGCAAATCCTCCAGATGCCAGCTTTCCTGGTAGCAGTTTCCCAAAGAGTGTAACACCAACCCCTCTCGTGGAAAAGGAGACAGTAAAGCCATAATTATCCCGTTAGTCCCAGGTCCAAAGGGTGCATCAGACCCACAAGAAATTAAGCGGAAAGTTCATTTTTTTCCTTTTTTATCCGGTTGAGTAGTTGAATCTGGCTGGTGGAGTGTTGCTAATGGTTTCTCGGTTTAGGTTCTAGGGAATGGGTAGCAAGGAGCTGACCAAGCCACAGAGGCTGGGAGGACGTGCTGCCAGTCTACCTCGCTCTTCCCAGAAACACGGTCTGGGTTGTATTCTAACTTCTTCTTGGTCTCATCGAAGGAGCCCGCGCGGGGGAGATTCTGAGCTGGGCTATTTCTTCCCACCCCCTCCCAGACAGACGGCGAGGTTTTCCCGACACTCCACTCCCCCTAGGGTTCTGCCTGCTGGCTATGGGCAGAAAAGTGCCAGTAGGGGTCAGCAGTGTCCCACGTGTGGCTGGGGCCACCCACCCGCCACCTGGGCTATGGGTCCTGGCTGGCCCAGGCAGACGGGAGCTGGAGGTCAGCTTCCTGTAGGGACCTCGGCATCTCTGAGCATCGCCGGCTCAAGCCTCCCCTCCCTGAGTGGGGGGCAGGGGGACGTTCATTCAAGGACCAACGGACAGGGGAGTGGATGTGTGACCCAGACATCAGCGATGCTGACTCACTGCCCGGTCTTCTCCTGGGAGGTTTTCACGTGTACTGACATGTGCAATGCCGTGTGTGGGTTGGATGTCAGAGATGTGTGTGTTGGATTTGCCCCACGAGCTTTTCTCAGAGACCCGGGGTTCCTGGCCGGGTGCTCGCGCTCTCCGTGAAGGCTGGCAGTCCGCGTGGCTGTGCGGGCTCCCACGAGGCCTGCCTGGTCCACGCCACCCCCGCACACTCAGCTGGGAAGGAGATTCTGCATCCCAGCATCTCCAGAACGACATCTCTGCAGCCGAGGCCACACGGAGCAAGTTTAGCTCACCTTGGCCTCACTGCCCGCCTCCTCCCAGCTCTGGGCGCCTCTGACCCCTCGGGTCCACGCCGCTGCCCCGCTTCCCCGCGCCCTGCCCCCGGCACCACTCCCCAGCCTCCCCGCCCCGGTGTGGGAGCCCCCAGCGAACCAGCTGGGCCGAGGGGACAGCTGCATGGCCAGAAGCAGCTCCGGGCTGGAAGAGGGTCCAGTCTGTACTGAGACTCTAGGCCCAGCACTTTCCAGGCGGCCTCCACGCGCAGCCAGGACGCGCAGATGCCCTGCCTTTGCGCCTGCAGGAAGGAGGACCCGGCAAAACCCGGCACCTGGCCTGCCTTCCCTGGAGTAGAGTTACGGCCGCTGATCCGGGCAACAGGTGCTGGGCGTTCCAGCTGCCGCAGGGCACATCTGCACCCGCGGAGAAGGCTGCAGCAGCCGCGGGGACACCCCGGAGGCGGGGGAGCCCAAAGGGCCAGGGGGAGAGAAATGTGGGGCAACTGGTATCAGCGCTCATAGAGCATCCCCCTCCCAGGATCCCAGTGTGGGACCCCTGGCCGAGCTGCCCAAAGCAGCCTCATTGGCCCTCTTGTCTCACAGCCCAGCCCTCTGGCTGTAGCCAGCTGCTCTCCCCTCCCGGCGGGCTCCACTCAGCCTCTGCAGGCTGCACCCAGGAGGCTCTGGGCAGCTCGCCTAGCAACTGGGGAGGGAGGCACTGGAAAGAAGGCTCTTCATACATGCAGATACTTCTGGCCATTTTAGTGCCTCAAACTGCAGTCAATTAAAGGGAAGGGGGGACATTTGGGGCTCCCAGGCTGAGGCGGGCACTGGGTCCAATGATTCGCCGACGTCGTCTCATCACATCCTCCCAACATCCCCACCAGGAGTGCATGGTCAGCATCCTCTGTCTCCCAGGGGACAGACCCAGGTTCTGGGCACACGGCGAGGAGGCAGTGGATCTGAGGCTTGACTACAGCCCTGACCCCAAAGCTGCCCTCTGTCCACTAGGCGCCCTGCCTGAAACCTCCCATTTCCTGGTACATCCCACACCGGGGCCCCATCCCTTCCTCCCGCAGAGGGGATTCCCTGCACCCCTGCCTCCGTCACCTCTGTTCACCACAGCCAAAGTCACTTCTACAACCTCGTCACCCGGTTCACTTGGCAACCCACGCCCCTGATACCTCCTGTCATCCGCCCACCACGAAAGTGGACCCCGCAGCCTCCAGATCCTTGGTGGCCACGCCAAGCATCCACGGGCCATCTGGGCGATGGTTTCCACACCCACCCCGTGTCCCTCCTTTTCCTTCTCCAGAAATTTTTCTTTTTTTGGCCACACTGTGTGGCTTGCGGGATCTTAGAACCCCGATCAGGGATTGAACCCTGGCCCTCGGCAGTGAAAAGCGCCAAGTCCGAACCACTGGACCACCAGGGAAGTCCCACAAGACACTTCTTAAGGTGTTAAGAATATTTACTGGGCTTCCCCGGTGGCGCAGTGGTTGAGAGTCCACCTGCCGATGCAGGGGACGCGGGTTCGTGCCCCGGTCCAGGAGGATCCCACATGCCGCGGAGCGGCTGGGCCCGTGAGCCATGGCCGCTGAGCCTGCGCGTCCGGAGCCTGTGCTCCGCAACGGGAGAGGCCGCAGCAGTGAGAGGCCCGTGTACCGCAAAAAAAAAAGGAGTATTTACTGATATAAGAAAATGTTCACAGAATATACTAGGAGTATCTTACCATTTTACCTGTCATTATGTAATTCCTGAATACATTCTCCTCGTGAAAGAAACCCCAGCAACTCAAACATACGGAAAGAATTAACAACGCCCTGGGTGACTCTTCCCCAGAGATAACCACTGCTATCAGTCTGGAGACTTTCCAGAGTTCTCGAAAAACGTATTTTCATACAGGTATAATGCACATAGAAATATATAGTTTTGTGGGGCATCTTTTGACATAACTCGGATCAGAGTGTGCTGTTTGTTTTGCAACTTTGATTTCTCTTAATGCTCAGTTTTAAGACTCCACGATCGTGTCGTGTACATAAATAGCTCACATGTAAGTAAGTTCTGGGTGGAGAAATGCTATTCCTTACCGGGACCTTGAGAGTCAAGCTTGGGCTCTGCTTTCTGTCCTGTGGGCAAAACTGGCTACACAATTTATGGGGGCCTGTGCGAAATACAACTGTGGAGTCCCTTGTTTAAAAACTTGGTAAGAATTTGAAGGGGGCAACAGCAAAGCATTAAACCAAACACGGGGTCCCGTGTGACGGCGCACGTGCCCATGAAGCTGGCCGGCCTGTGGGTGGTTTGAATCAATGCGTCCTCTGTCCCGACAGTGGACATTCCTGCCTCGGCCTCCACCTTGGGCCGTGTCCCTGGATTCTGCACCCAGCCTTCCCCACTGCGCTCTCTCTCCAAGGCCAGAGTCCTGGGCAGTCTTCCACCAGCACAAGCGAACTCCGGCAGTCCATGCCTGCCAGTCAGCATTGCCCTGGGCGCCCCCCCAGAAGAGCGGGGGTGGTGGCAATGACACCTCCCCTGTGCCTCAGGGGAAAGTCTCGCGGGAGATAAGAGAGCACCGAACTACCAAGCTGCATGTTCTGAGCCGCGTGTCCTTAGCGGTGAGTTGCTGACCTTCTTGGCACCTTGGTTTCGTATGTGTTGAAGGAGAGGGTGGGATTCGACAGCCTTCCAGACCACACCCAGCTCTGAAAGTCTGTATGTAAGTGACTCTAAGAGACCAGAATGGGAATAACTCACGCATTTACCATACACCACTTACACGCTCATCTGATGCTTGGGACAGGCCTACAAGGCAGGCGGTGTCATTCCCACTTTACAGACAAGGGAGTCGAGACTCATCAAAGCAACCGAGCAAGGCAGCGTCTGGGGTGAAGCACGTGTTCTAGAACCTGGTTGTGGTCACGGCTGCACAGCTCGGTAGCTTTGGTACAAATCATGGACTCGCATACTTACAAGGGGTGAATTTTATAGTATGTCAGTTATACTCCAAAAAAGCCATTAAGAAGGGAGAAAGAAAGAAACGTGCAGCAGCTGCTGAGTGACAGAGCCCCTCCCCGGGCCCCACATGGTCTCCAAGCCCCCCTTTCCTCTGCGGATCTGCATGGTACCAGGGCACGTGGCCTTGGGTGCCAGGATGCCGGGATGCAAGTCCCGGCTCCAGCACTGACAAGCTGGGGACCCAGGCAAGATCTCAACCTCAATTTCTTCACCTACAAAATAGAGACAAAAATGAGACGGATGTTAAGGGCTTAGACTAGCGGTCAGTACCCAGCAAGAGCTCTGTAAGTCGGACTGTTATCTTCTCGGGGCAGCTCCAGCCAGAGCCAGCCTCCCGAAAGGGAAGCATGTCTCCCTGCCCACCCCATTCCTACCCTGCTGGCCCCTTCCAGAAGCACCCCTCTGGAAAAGCCATCATTGGAAAAACACCATGACTGACTATCAGCACGGCTCACTTCCTGGTGATAGAAAGGGAGAAAAGCCATCTTCCATAAGGCAAGCCTCACTATCCTGAAACACGCAGCCCAGTGCCAGCTCTTCCTCACAGACCGTTCCTCCCGGGTCCTCGTCTAGACCATCAACACAGGGGCCCGGCACCCTGAGGCCAGGGTAGCCACATGGGGACAACTGCCACACCCACGCCCCCCCATCCCACTCCTGTGAAGCTCCTTGCTGGTTAACAGATCAAGCCAGAGAGGATGAGGGTTGTTAGTAGACAGTCAGATTTCTATTGCTCAAAAGCAAGTTTTCTCAAACCACCGATGGCATTTTTCACAGAACTAGAACACAAAATTTCACAATTTGTATGGAAACACAAAAGACCCTGAATAGCCAAAGCAATTTTAAGAAAGAAAAACGGAGCTAGAGGAATCAGGCTCCCTGACTTCAAATTATACTACAAAGCTACAGTAATCAAGACAGTATGGTAATGGCACAAAAAACAGAAATACAGATCAATGGAACAGGATAGAAAGCCCAGACATAAACCCATGCACATATGGTCACCTTATTTTTGATAAAGGAGGCAAGAATATACAATGGAGAAAAGACAGCCTCTTCAGTAAGTGGTGCTGGGAAAACTGAACAGCTACATGGAAAAGAATGAAATTAGAACACTCCCTAACACCATACACAAAAATAAACTCAAAATGGATTAAAGACCTAAATGTAAGGCCAGACACTATAAAACTCTTAGAGGAAAACACAGGCAGAACACTCTATGACATAAATCACAGCAAGATCCTTTTTGACCTACCTCCTAGAGAAATGGAAATAAAAACAAACAAATGGGACCTAATGAAACTTCAAAGCTTTTGCACAGCAAAGGAAACCATAAACAAGATGAAAAGACAACCCTCAGAATGGGAGAAAATATTTGCAAATGAAGCAACTGACAAAGGATTAATCTCCAAAATTTACAAGCAGCTCATGCAGCTCAATAACAAAAAAACGAACAACACAATCCAAAAGTGGGCAGAAGACCTAAATAGACATTTCTCCAAAGAAGATATACAGACTGCCAACAAACACATGAAAGAATGCTCAACATCACTAATCATTAGAGAAATGCAAATCAAAACTACAATGAGGTATCATCTCACACTGGTCAGAATGGCCATCATCAAAACATCTACAATAAATGCTGGAGAGGGTGTGGAGAAAAGGGAACCCTCTTGCACTTTTGGTGGTAATGTAAATGGATACATCCACTATGGAGAACAGTATGGAGGTTCCTTAAAAAACTAAAAATAGAGCTACCATACAGCCCAGCAATCCCACTACTAGGCATATTCCCTGAGAAAACCATAATTCAAAAAGAGTCATGTACCAAAATGTTCATTGCAGCTCTATTTACAACAGCCAGGACATGGAAGCAACCTAAGTGTCCATCGACAGATGAATGGATAAAGAAGATGTGGCACATGTATACAATGGAATATTACTCAGCCAGAAAAAGAAATGAAATTTGAGTTATTTGTAGTGAGGTAGATGGACCTAGAGTCTGTCATACAGAGTGAAGTAAGTCAGAAAGAGAAAAACATTTCTCTAACATAGCATAATGGTGGCCATTATGCTAACACATAATATGAAATCTAAAAAAAAAAAAAAAAGGTTCTGAAGAATCTAGGGGCAGGACGGGAATAAAGACGTAGGTGTAGAGAATGGACTTGAGGACACGGGGAGGGGGAAGGGGAAGCTGGGACGAAGTGAGAGCGTGGCATGGACATATATACACTACCAAGCGTAAAATAGATAGCTAGTGGGAAGCAGCTGCATAGCACAGGGAGATCAGCTCGGTGCTTTGTGACCGCCTGGAGGGGTGGGATAAGGAGGGTGGGAGGGAGACGCAAGAGGGAGGACATATGGGGATATATGTACACATATAGCTGATTCACTTTGTTATACAGCAGAAACTAACACACCACTGTGAAGCAATTATACTCCAATAAAGACGTTAAAAAAAAAGCGTGTTTTCGAACATGGAGAGTATGCCCGAGGGGATGTGGGATGCAGGTGGGATGGGGTGGGGCCGGGGTATGAGCTGTGTTTTCTGTTTGATAATCGAGCTTCTGCTGGCAAATGCTCAGCACTACTTACCACACCTTCTCTTCGGCTCTCTCACTGAACGCTCACCCAGGCCTCGGTAGCGGTGGTGTCCCCTGGGTGTCACCCCGCTTACGGATGAGCATGTGCTTCGGCAAGGGCCCCGCCAGAGTGTGGACTCGGGTCCTCTGACACCCAGTGTTTTTCCACTGTTCTTCCGAGGAGGAAGCCAGAGGCTCCCTCTAACGACGTTTATTAAAGGCTCAAGAAATAAAGTGATGTACTGTGCTCGCATCCCTGCCTTAGAGACGGCTCTGCGCGCCTAACGGGAGCGGGAAGGTGCAGACAGACCCTGGCGGGCCACATGGGATGGGGGAGCTCTGACAGTGCAAACTCCCGGATCCCAAACGTAAAACAGATTAGTCTCAGTCCTCAGAGCTCAAGGGGGCAGGAAATGGGCAGGGGCCCCAGGAAATCAGGCCAGGCCTGGAAATGCCACCTGCTGAGCTGGGGCTCTCGGAGCATCTCAACTCAAGCCAGGTCTGAGACCACGGGGTGACAACAGGCTCCTGGGCTGATTTTTTAAAACCTATTTGTCACGTTGACATTAATCCTCTCGTTAGCAATCTCCCGCCCTGATTCAGGATGGGCTCTAAGCCGTGGATGGAGGAGGGGACCAGGGGCAGCTGTCGGGCTTCAGGAGTCACGGGGGGGCAGCAGGGCCCGGAGGCCGCCTCGCGGTGGGGTGGGGGGATGAGCCTGCATCTCACCGTTTCCCTTGTGGCCAGCGCCTCCAATCTCCTCTCCCGGTGGCCACGCCCTCGCCTTTACTTCTTATTGATTTTCATATTTAAGGAAAAGCCATTTGCTTGATTGACAGCATCAGAGTCATCGCTGTGTTCGGAGGAAAACTGCTCACAGGCAGGCACTTGGCAGAGGCCTCCCCTGGGCTGGGGGGGGGCCCTACTTCCCACCCAGGCGGCCCTGCGTCCACGGTCACTGTGGCTTCTCTCTGCCGCCCTGTCCCACCACCTTGTCTCTCAGGAGCTGTCCCTGCCTCTGCCCTTCAGCACAACTAGAGCTGGTCTGTTCATCCCCTGCCCACCCCCCTACCTGTCCATATGCCAGCGTGTTTATCCAGACACACTTCACTGCTGCAGGTCTGTGACTGGGACATTTGGAGCAGGGTCGGGGGACTGGTGTGATCAGCCATTCATGAATGGGAGAGAAATACTGATCTCACGGAGGAAGAGATTTAACCCTTACAAAACCATGGCTTGGGACTTCCCTGATGGCGCAGTGGTTAAGAATCCGCCTGCCAATGCAGGGGACACGGGTTCGAGCCTTGGTCCGGGAAGATCCCACATGCCGCGGAGCAACTAAGCCTATGCGCCACAACTACTGAGCCTGCGCTCTAGAGCCCGCGAGCCACAACTACTGAGCCCGCGCACCACAACTTCTGAAGACCACGGGCCTAGAGCCCGTGCTCCGCAACAAGAGAAGCCACCGCATTGAGAAGCCCGTGCACTGCAACAAAGAGTGGCCCCCGCTCGCTGCAACTAGAGAAAGCCCTCGTGCAGCAACAAAGACCCAACGCAGCCAATAAATAAATAAATTAGAAAAAGAAAACCATGGCTTTAGCCTTCTTCCCCATTCAGCACCCAAGGAACAGCACCTTCCTGCCATTACCAGTATGGGTGGGGCCCCGTGTGCAGCCTCACCGTGGACCAGAGGGCAGTTCAGTCTCTGAAACTGCTTTGCAAGCCTGCTGTGTAATCCTTGGTCCCTAGACCGAGGAGGTGAGGAACTCAGCTGGCCCACCCTATGGGCCCTCGAGAAAGGACAGTGCTTCTTCCGAGAGGACCAGGCTCCCCTTAGCAGGCCGAGGAGCCTGTGAAAAGCGAGAGAGGTTCCAGTTAGCACATGGCTGAATGACACACTGGATGCAGGGTTGCATGACTCAGGGATCAAAATAATAATTGATGTTTACTGAGTAGCGCAGGCACTATTCTGAGTGTGCCGCCTAGATTAGCACACTTACTCTCACCAACAATCGTGGGAGATGGCAACTGTCATCACCCCAGTTTACAGATGAAGAAACCGAAATGGTCAGAGGTTAAAGAATCCGTTCTGGTTCCCATGGCTGATGAGAAGCAGATCCAGGATATGAACCCAGGCAATCTGCCTTCGAGCCCACACTTCCAGCCACTGTACCCACAGGGCAAGGACTCGCCCCCTGTGTCCCTCTGAGATAGCCCCTCCCCCGCAAAGAAAAGGCAGGTTATTCCCATATAGAAACCCTTCTCCCTGGTTAGTTGGGAACTTCCTCAACGCCACTGCTTGTCCACTGTCTAGTGTCCCTTTATCACTCCCTTAGGTCCCCAGCCACTGTGACCCGACTGACTGACTGGACGGGGGTGGGCAGGACTCTGCTGACCCTGCTTCCCTCTGGTTGACCCGTTGCTGGTGAAACTTTGGGAAACCTCCCAGGGAGTTGGCCCCGGAAATAATCAATCATGTTTGCTGACTGGAGCTGGCGACGCCTCTGGTCCCAATCTGGTGGGTCCTTGGTCGCACTGCCGCCTTTCTCCCGGAGCTCGAAGCCTGCTCCAGAAGCCCAGGCACCTGACCTCCTCTGCCCTGTCCCGGGAGGCAGGGTCAGTGGAGGCCGCACTGCCCAGGCTGCACTAGGTTCTGGCCGAGGCCCCACTTCCAGCCCCTCTCTCTGGGTCTGGTCGTTTCTTCTCCCCCTCCCTCCTCCCCCTCCCAGGCCGTAGAAGGAGAAAGGGCCCGTGGCAGGGTCGCGAGGTCGGGCAAAGCCCCACGCATTTTACTGAGCACCTACTATATGCCCGGCCCTTCTGGGGTCTCCCCTCCCCTCTGCATCCGCGTCCCAGCCCAGAAAGCGGAACAGAACAGAGAGGAAGGAAGGGGGCGCGGGCGGAAGGGGGTGGGAAGGCCCGGCCGACCCCTCTGTCCGCGCTCCTAAGAACTGCCGGCCGGCGGCAGCCCGAGGGCGCGTGGGGGTGGGGCCGGGCCTGGAAGCGGCGGGTCCCGGCCGAGGAAACGCTTGATTGTGCGGAGGCTTCCTGCCCCGCCACCCAGCTCCGCCTTTCTGCGGCCGCGGAGGCGGGACGGAAGGCGAAGGCAGGAAAGGGTTACGGGAATAGCTTTCCAATGACAAAGTCTGGAAGGGCCCGGCGCCTCCGCCCCTCTGCGGGTTCAAGTGGCACAGCGCGGGGGGAGCGGGGCGCTCGGCGGCGCAGCCTCCGCCCCCGGCCCGGGGAGGCGGCCGGCGTGTGCCCGGGGCAGCGGGTCACCAGGCTCCGCCCCGCGCCCGGCAGGGGACGCACTTTGTTCGGGATGCCGCCTCACTCCGCGTCGTGGGGCCCGGGCCGGCGGCGGCCCTAGTGCCACCCGCGACCGGAGCGCGGACGCCGAGACTCCGGGGGAAGCCGACCAGCGCGGGAGCCAGAGAACTTTCTCCTCGCGCCGTGGGCCTGGCCGGCGCCGTCGGGATGCGTGGACCCGGGGCCCCGGGGCGCAGGCGCGCGGGTAAGTGGCCCGCTCAGGGACCTGGCGATCGCGGGGTGGGTTCGAGTCTGATGCTCCCCGCTTTGAGGGACGGGGCTGGCGGGTTCTGCAGGGCAGGAGGGCCCGAGCGCCGGGGGGTGAGCTTGCGCCCGCGGGAGGGTGAGCGTCCACGCGGGGCTGCGCGTCTGGTCCAGGAGTTGACTCACCATGGGCCACCCAAGTTCAACCTTTCGGAGCCTCGGTTTCCCTTGCCTTGCTGTTGAAAGTGTGTTGAGATCCTCTGATTAGAGACACCGAGGGCTACATTACACACACACACACACACACACCCTGCCCACATCTTCTCCTCCCACCCCAGCGGAGCGAGCTGAACAGCTGGGCAGGTGACCTTGGCGCACTGTTCCAGAAAACGTTCTCTGGCCCCCGGATGCACCGAGAAGCATCGCACGGGCCCGGAGGCTGTCCTCCTGGCACGCCTGAGAAAGCTTCCTGGAGCAGCTGGGAGGGAGGGAAAAAGAGAGGGTGGCCGCTCTGGGAGCTCACCTAAGAGTCCCCGGTGCTTGGGCCCTGGGGTCCCTTCTATTCTCACAGCCGACAGAAACTGGTTGGAAGATAAAGAACTGGCCAGGTCTGCAGGGGGCAGAGAGGGGAGGCAGGATCGGGGAGGCGTGAGTGGGGGCGGTGGGGATGGTGTGCAGCTCTGACGTCCACGCTGCAGAGAGGGTTCCTTGTCCCCGAGCCCAACATGGGAACATCAGCTGGTGAGTCAATGGGACTTTGTTAAGACAGCCCAGGGCGCAGCTGGCGCCGGCTTCTGGGACGCGCCGGATCCCCCTCGATAATGTGCTGTTTATCTGGCTTCCCGTTTCAGTGGTTGGCACACCATTGGCTCGTTCAAATTCAAGCTGAGAAGCCTGCGGCCTTGTTCGCGCTGCAGAAGTAGAGGGTCTGCCTGGGTTTGCATCCTGCCTGCGTTTTGTTCCCCTACGCGGCGTCCCCTGCGACTCTTATAACGGGGCTGCAGGACTTCACACAAAGAACCCTCCCCCTAGTAGGCGGAGCTGCCACTAGGTAGACCTGGGCTCCCTTCAGGCCAAAGACACAGAGGACTCCAGCCTGCTTATGAATTTTTTGTATCCTGCTTTGAATTTGGGTTTGTGTGTCTTTGGGATTAAACTGGGAAAATGAGACAGGGAATCGCAGTGATTGTGCGTTTCCTCGCCCGAGATGAGCTTTACAGCGGTCCGTGCTTTTACCAGTGGTTTCTAGGGGAAAGTTGCTGATCAGTTTGTAGCTCCGTATCAGCCTGTGTTGCTCACTTCCTGGATGACCCGAGAGCAGGTCGTTCCTTACTTGTGTACCATGGAGCAGGAGAGAATGACCAAGGCTTTTCTGATCTGTGCTGCAGCCTCTAGGGTCTGTTTCCCCGAGCTCCCCAGGTTTAGAGGGAAGAGCCCCTACTCTGAACTCCCCCGGGGCAGGTTTCCATTCTGCTTTGTGTTTCTATCTCCCTGTGAAGGCCTTCCTGCCCGCTGTCCTGTCTGACCACGCCCAGCGCTCAGCAGGCATCTTTCAAATGTTTGCCAAATTAATACAATTGGGAAAAAAAAATTTGGGTCCCACCCAGAGGTCTCCCATCCAACTCCGGTGCCCATTTATTCTTATTTATGTCTTTCTTTGGGAGTCGTGTGATTTGCCTCCACCACCATCCCCCCACCCCCCTTTTCCCCTGCAAACCTGGTCCATAACGAGGTGGATTTGTTCACAGGTGGGCAAGCTTTAAGCATGCAGGCCTTTTCTGGGATCTCCTTGGGAAGTCCTGGCCTGAGCAAACTGAGAACAGCAATGCTGTTTTTCCTTCCCTTCCCAAACCTGGCCCCCTCCTGAGTCCTTGGGAGCCTCTGGTATTAGCCCAGCTTTGGCCCAGTAGGAAAGAATGGCCTAGAGAAGAAACAGCTCTTGTCCATCTTTTAAAACTTGTCTCTCTTTTCATCTTTCCATTTCCCATCAATGTCACTTCCCTTTTCTTTTAAAGTTCTTTTGAATTCTTAAAGGGTTTGGCCTTTAGAAGCACTAGTCTAAAGAGGTCTCGCCTCCCAGCCCCTGCCCTGCCCTCCCCTTTACAGCGGGGAATCAAGGCCTACAGGAGGGAGTGGAGGGGCTCAGAGCTGCATAGCTGGGGCTGCAGAAGCCAGCCTGGAACGCAGGGCTTCTGGCTCCCGGTCTAGGGCTCCTTCCCTTTCAGCCAATCACTTCCGTGCATCAGAATGCTTCTCTTCCTAGTATTGCCATCCGTAGATCTCAGAAGATGTTCCATAGCTGTTGGCAAGAGAGAGGAACAGAAACAAGGGGGACGGAGAGCGTCTGTGTCATGGAACCAACCACCAGCTCTTAGAGTCTAGGGACCACGGAGAACTGAGAAATGTGTCTATCCTTGACAAACACTCCATCATTCTGGCCCCGAGTCACAAAACAATCATTAAAAACACTCCTGGGGCTTCCCTGGTGGCGCAGTGGTTGAGAGTCCTCCTGCCCATGCAGGGGACGCGGGTTCGTGCCCTGGTCCGGGAAGATCCCACATGACGCGGAGCGGCTGGGCCCGTGAGCCATGGCCGCTGAGCCTGCGCGTCCGGAGCCTGTGCTCCGCAGTGGGAGAGGCCACAGCGGTGAGAGGCCCGCGTACCTCAAAAACAAACAAACAAACCAAAAAAACCACTTCTAGTTCCTTCTTCAACTTAAAAAAAAAAAAAACCCACCAACTTTTCAAGTGGAAAACACCCCCCCTACGTAAACAGTTTCCTGGGCCTCGTCTGTTCCCTCCCCCTCCTGGGAAGGCTGACTCAGGCCTGATTTCCTCCAGGGGGCCTGGGATTTTGCTTGCCAGCTTCCTGTGGCTCTTGCGATGTGAAGGGAGGCAAGAAGGCTGAGCCCCAGGTCACTCTGGCCTGCTTGCGGCTGTGGTTCCGTTTCTCTTGCGCAGACCATCATCCCCATCAGACCTGTTTGCTCTCCTTGATTCTAGTAAGAGACGCGCTAACACACACGAAAAACTAAAGGTGCTCGCTGATGCACGCTCCGCCACCAAGGCCCAGTAGTAACGAGATGTCCCCGCTTCAAGGGGCCCTGAGACCCTTCTGATGCCCAGTCCTCCGACGCTCTGAAAGCTTTCCTGAGTGGCATCGTTTTCTCCGTTTCTTTTTTGGATTGTCCACTGCTGGTGTGTAGAAACACAATTGATTTTTGTGTGCTGGTCTTGTCGCCTGAAACATTTGTTTATTAGCTCTTTTGGCTTTTGTATGGGTGGATTCTTTGGGATTTTCCATATGCAGGGTCATGTCAACTGTGAACAGAGATAATTTTACTCCTTCTTTTCCAGTGCAGATGGCTTTTAACTGCTCTTTCTTCCCTAACTGCTCTGGCTGGAACCTCCCATCCAGCGTTGAGCGGCTGGTGAGAGCAGGCAGCCCTGTCTGGCCCCTGATCTTAGAGGGAAAGCTTTCAGTCTTCAGCGCTGAGTAGAATGTCTGCTGTGGGTTTTTCATAAATGCTCTTCATCATGTTGAAGAAATCCCTTCTAATCCAGCTTTTCTAAGTGTATTTTATCATGCAAGTGTGTTGGATTTTGTCAAATGCTTTTTTTCTGTGTCAGTTGAGTTCATCATGTGTTTTGATAATTACATGGATTTTCTTATGTCGAAGTACCCTTGAATTCCTGAGAAAAATCCCTCTGAAAGCTTTTTTTAAAAAAAATATGCAAAATTTCATTTTTTTATTTAAAAAACAAGAAAATTTGACAAAGTGCTAACATTCTGTTGTTGGGTGGGTGGGTACATGTTTATTGTAGTTTTCTCTGTAGTTATTGTACTTTAAACATTTAAAAATTTTTATTGTGGTTAAATACATATAGCATAAAATTGACCATTTTAATCACTTTTAAGTGTACGGTTCAGTGGCATTAAGTACATTGTTGTTAACTGTTGTCACCATCCGTCTGTAGAACTTTTTCAACTTTCCAGACTAGAACTCTGTCCCCAGTAGGCAGTAACTCTTCGTCTTCTGCCCACTCCCCAACCCCTGGCAACCACCATCCTGCTTTCTATGTCCATGAATTTGTGAAAACTTTGTAATAACTAGAAAAGTCAGGACTTTGAGGCATTGAAGGATTAAAGGACCTCACCCCATGTCCAAAGGGAACATCTTAGAGGGATTTTGATTCAGATCTTTTTGACTTAAACACTCGCTCAACCACTGCCCCTGTGTCAGAGACATTTGACAAGCCCAGGTGTAGACATGAGCTGACCCAAGTGTAGACGTGAACTGATCCAGGTGTAGTCATGAACTGACCCAGGTGTAGACGTGAGCTGATCCAGGTGTAGTCATGAACTGACCCAGGTGTGGACATGAGCTGACCCAGATATAGACGTGAAGTGACCGGGTGTAGACATGAGCTCACTAGGTGTAGACATGGGCTTACCCAGGTGTGGACGTGA